TATAAATCTCTTCTCAGAGACAAAAAAAAGAGAACAGTGCCTACAAGTTCACTGATGTCTTAATTTGGCCTCCTCCCAGTCACGCCTATGGGAGGCCCCTGGAGTATAACCCATGCTAGTTGGAATCTACCCCCTTGTAAGGGTTGACCTAACTTAGTACAGATCCTAGAGCTGAAATAGCAGTCCTGTTAGTCAACAGGTGGTGAGTACATTCTCAATGGGAAAAGTATACCGTCTTGTTATTCACCAACCCCCAAGTGGAATGAGTGGCAAGAGATGGACAGACCAACTGTCTTATCTGGAGAACTTGTAAGAGCAGAAGTACACCTCTGAAATTCAGCCAACATTTTCCTTCTTGCCATAGAACGATGGGCAGGGCCAGGTGGACCAGAATGCAAACAATCAGGGACAAGGTGGTTAGGAAGTCCATGGAAGGGGGCACCTTCCTCCATAACTGAATGGCAGTGGCTGGTGCACACGGAGGTTCAGGGCAGAGGGTGGATGAGAAAATTATCACACAGCTGGTGACTATAGCAGGGATTAGGGGAAGGGACGGTGCACAGGTCTGCGATGAAGTCCTTTTGCTGTAAACCTTTGACATTCAGTGGTTACAAGTGAGGGTGTCTCAAGATCTTGGCCTGCCATCTGCCAGCTGTCGCTGCCCTATTGTCTTAGAAGCAAAGTGAGGCCCAGAGGCAGGGAGAGGCATCAACCATCAACCATATTATGGCTTTTTATAGGGCAAGTCTGTTTCAGTGTGGATTGCCTGTGGTGATTTACAAGTAGCATCAATTGCCTCATTGGATGAATCATAAGCAATATCTATTCCCACAGAATGAGCTTTTCCTTCCCCGATAAAGGCACAGGTGCTCACACACACACCTTCCCATACTTTGCTGATTCAATCAGGGATTATAAGTGCTACACAATGAATCAACCTACCTCCTCAACCCAGCTTCACAAGAAGCCATTGTTGAAAAAAAGGGGCAGCATGAAGAGCACCTATGGTAGGGTGTGCCTGACATTGTTCAGGAAAACCCCTCAGTCCTGGGCATACAGGGACAGTTGGTTCACCCAGCCTGAACGAGTTAGCCACTCTGCCCCACATCCAAGCCTTTCCTGAACCAGGTGCTCTGTGCTGGTCTGGGTCCCTCTAGTTGCTGGCCAGAGCAAGAACTCTGCAGTAACTTGGTTTGCCTCCATTGTCAGCATATTGTCAGTGTTTAGCACATCTCAGTTGAAGCCGTAAATGTATGCCAACATCAGAAATTCTTAGCATTCTTAAAGGGAACTGCTCCCCACCCCCACGGCAGCACAAGGAAGACCACTTGTCTGAGCTGCCTCCTGTGGGTGACTGTATTATATAGTTAATGATATTTACTGCTGCCTCCTGAAGGCGCATTATCGCCTTTGCCCAGTGACATTAGGCTTGGCCATGTGACCTGCCTTACCTCTCCATGTAGGATTATATGTTCCAGTCTTGCTGTGCACAGGGTGGCCACATAACCAATGCAATGAGAGTAGACAGACCCTGTAAGAGCCAGCCTGAGTTTTCTTCCTGCCGACACCAGCACTGGTCCAGATGGGGGCTACTCTGTCAAACTGGGTCCCAAAGTGAAAAGGACATGGGACGTAACTGAAACTAACCATGATGAGCACAAGTGAAAAGTAAATCTTTGTTGCTATGTCATGAGATATAATGGTTGTTTGCTAATGCGGCCTAACCTAACCTATCTTAATGATATATCTTTTTTTTTATGTTTTTGTTAATTTTTTAGAGAAAGAGGAAGAGAGAGAGAGACAGAAACATCTATGGGAAACATTGATTGGCTGCTTCCTGCTTGCCTCCTACTGGGGGTCAAGCCTGCAACCCAAGCATGTGCCCTGACCAGGAATTAAACCAGCAACCTCTTGGTGCATGAGTCAACAGTAAACCAACTGAGCCACACCAACCAGGCAATGATGATATCCTACGTAATAAAAGGGTAATATGCAAATTGACCAAACAGCAGAACAACCGGTCATTATGACGCATTGTCCAACAGGGGGCAGATGCTCAATGCAGGAGCTGCCCCCTGGTGGTCAGTGCGCTCCCACAGTGGGAGCGCTGCTCAGCCACAAGCCTGGCTGATGGCTGGGGAGCACAGCAGCCTGACTCCATGGCAGCGCTAAGGATATCTGACTGTGGCTTAGGCCCACTCTCCCCAAGGAGCGGGCCTAAGCCACAGTCAGACATCCCCCGAAGCTCCCAGACTGTGAAGGGGTGCAGACCAGGCTGAGGGACTCCCTCTCCCCCCCCCACCCCCCCGCCTGAACTAATGCCGTGCACCAGGCCTCTAGTATCTTTTTTTTTTTTTTAAATATGTTTTATTGATTTTTTACAGAGAGGAAGGGAGAGAGAGAGTTAGAAACATCGATGAGAGAGAAACATCGATCAGCTGCCTCCTGCACATCTCCTACTGGGGATGTGCCCGCAACCCAGGTACATGCCCTTGACCAGAATCGAACCTGGGACCTTTCAGTCCGCAGGCCGACGCTCTATCCACTGAGCCAAACCGGTTTCGGCCCTCTAGTATCTTTATATGATGCGTGAGCTCTGATTGGTGCTGTATCTTTGACTTGGAGCGGTTTGGACACTCACTAGATTCTATATGGAGAGTCCTGGAGGGGAAGAAGAGGATGGTGTGCTCTAAAGCCAGGGTAGTTGTGTGGTGGGGACTCTATGTGCCTCTGTCACCCAGATAACGAACACAGAGCACTTAGCCCATGGAGCCAGCAGCCTCTGTCACTGTGCCTTGTGCTCCAGTGCAGGAACTACTCGGCCAGCAAGGTGAGTGATGGGGAGCCCAGGAATGCAGCCACTTGGAAAATTCCTTCCTACCTCATATGATACGGTAGGTGTGAGGAAAGGGGTTAAAGTGGGTGCAGGGGCTTATGGCTGGAGACACAGTGACCCAAAGAAGCCAAGCTAGACATTGTTTCAGAAAGAACTTTCAGATGTCAGGAACCCCAACACCTGGAGAGAACAGAGGGGGCAACATGCACATATGGAGTCGGGAGACCAAATAAGGAAATGCTTTGTTTTCTGGTGTGCTTTGATGGGCCTGGAGAAGAGTGTGACCCAAAGGAAGGTTTGTCTGAGGCATTTCCAAGTTTTCCTTGGCCAGAGCAGCCTCTCCGAAGTTTGAAAGCAGACACGTCACTGAACCAAGAGCCTGCCGTGTGCATTAGAGGAAGACAGTTTCACTTTCTGCATAAAACAAAAATTTATCTGGGGCCCTAACTGGTTTGGCTCAGTGGATAGAGCATCGGCCTGCAGACTCAAGGGTCCTGGGTTCGATTCCGGTCAAGGGCATGTACCTTGGTTGCGGGAACATCCTCAGTGGGGAGTGTGCAGGAGGCAGCTGATCGACGTTTCTCTCTCATCGATGTTTCTAACTCTCTATCCCTCTCCCTTCCTCTCTGTAAAAAATCAATAAAAAATATATTTAAAACAAAATTTATCTGGGAGATAAACACCTGAGCGTGAACACCTCTGAGGCACCATGAGAGTAAAATTTTATCCTTGTAAGATAAACACATGGTCAGTTCACACTCACACACACACACAAACTGACCAAGAAGATAATCTCAGTAAAGATAAAACATCAGAAATTGCACAGAACATAATCATGTTATTGCATAATAGATTAAAATATAGCCTTTAACATGTAATTAAGTAGCAATTAGTACCAATGTACTTTTCTAAATATCTGCTCAGCAGAACTCGTCAGAAACAAAAGGTATCCTGTCTCTTCCATCAGGATGGAACTACCTACAACACATGCTGGTGAAGAGTGGCAAGCCCCACGCTGCTGAGAGTGTAAAGGGTCCAGCCACTCTGGCAGACAATTTTGAAATACTTTTTTGACTAAAATATTCATATCTCTGGAACAGTAGAGTCACATCTAAGAAAATGGTCAGAAGCGCAGACAAAGATTTATGTACCAGAATGTAGCAAACAATAAATACCCGACAACAGGACTATGATTAAATAAATGATATATAAAAAAACATAATAAAACCGTCACATATAATTATGAGTGCTTTCAATTATATAGGAAAACGTTCAGAAGATAATACCAATCCAAAACAGCATAATATGAAATTGTATATATGGTATACTCTCAATATTTAAGAATATATACATAAAAAAATGACTGAAAAAGGTATCTTAAAATGCTAACAGTGATTGTCTCTACAAAGTAGTATTATCGGTGATTATTACTTACTTCTTAATACATTCCTGTATTCTCTAAAATTTCCATAATGATATATTATTATGTTTTCAAAAAAAAATCTTTTGGAAAAGTATTCCTAAATGATAATAGAGAGAGTAACTCAGTAATACAATAATACATTATTGTTAACGTAATAATGAATGTGAGGTGATAAATGTGCTAACTAACCTCATTGTAGTGATCATTTTGCAAGTATACATGCATCAAATCATAGCCTTGCACACCTTAAACTTCCACATGTTATGTGTCCATTATTTCTCAAAAGAGCTGGGAAAAAATTAATGACATTACAAATCAGTTTACAAAAACTCAAAACAGCCCTCAGAAAAAAATTATACTTTGAGTATATAGCAATAAAAACAAAAAATTACTATATACACATATAAAATACAAATGAATTTTATTTATAAATGTATAGATGTACACACTTAAAATAAAAGTTACTAATTAGGGGGAAGATACATCAAAAGAATATAATGCCATAATCAAGTAGAGTTTACTCAGAATTTAAGGATGTTTTAATATAGTGAAAACCATTACTATAATATTGGGTGACTTAAATGATAAAAATATATGATTATATTAAAAGATACCAATTCCTACTAAAAGTTTCTAACAAACAAGAGTTGTTATTTCCTTTAAGTAGATAATATTTGTTTAAAACTAATAATTAACTTAATATTTAATGAAGAAATATCAAAAAATATCTTTTTATCACAATTTTATTTAACACAAAATAGATACATAAGACAAATATTTTTGCAGCTATGATTTTAGGGGGGAAAAAAACGCTGTTAGAACAAAGGCAATTCACTAAAAGACAAATATTTTCTTAAAGTGTTCATTTTCGACCTAGACAATTCAAATTGAAGCATTAAAAAGATCTTTACACCTTATGTAACACATTCCTTAGGGAGAAAAAGATTTTTTTGAAAATTAAAAATATATGTGTGGGAAGAAAAAAGAACAATGAAGACCAATATAATGCTGATTCAATTGATTCAAATGCAGAGTTTAACTCGTTACATGGCAAAAATATCTAACTACCAAGTGTGAGAATTGCCAAGAAGAATAAATAATGTTTTTGCTCAAAGCTAGGGAATAAAAGCACAAGGCACTGCAATGTAAGGAAGTAAGTGCTATGCTAGAGAGCTGAGCACTCTCTTGGGGTCAGGAAAGGTTAACCCGGCGTTTAAAGAATCTAATTTTACCAGGTTTTAAGGCAGGTGAAGGGAAGAAGGGTGACACCGAGAGGGAGGGAACTTACAAACGCAGAGTCACAGGATCAAACGGCCCATTCCAAAACCGCAAGTAGGTCAGTACACACAATACTGGCCTGCATTTTAAAAACTTAATATTTAAAGATCAGAAAATCTGGCTTTCTGGCTTCTTTTGTCAAAATGGACAATCTGACAAACTGGACCAAGTTCCCACATGAAAACGAGAGGCAGAGACCCCTTTTCGACGGGAAAATTTGCCACAGCACTTCCTCTTTGCCCCCTTCCTCTTACATTCAGCTCATTTCATCCAGTAACTCACCTTTCTGGTCCCTGTAGCCGTCTGAGTTTATGACTCGTTCCCTACGTGATGGGGACCAATAAAGGTAATGGCAGGAAAAAGCGATATGATTAGGACTGGATTTCAAAAGATCAACCAGGCAGCAGAAGGGAAGGCAGAGGGAGAGAAGGGTGGTAAGGAGATCAGTGAAATCCACAAAAGTCTATTACATTAACAATTAAAATGGGGCAACCACCATTGTAACCTAGCACCTCCCACAAAACACTCGCAAGACATGACTTGAAAACCACTGAGTTCTATAAGAGGGTTTTAAACAAGGCAGTGTGTAGGGAATGTGAAGAAAGGCACAGAGAAGGATAAAAATTTGAGAGATTTTCGAGGGGAAAATAATCTCCAACATTAGGTAACCAATTTGACACTGGGAATAAAGAGAGAGAAGAGTATTAGGGCACTCTGCAGTTTTGGGGCTTAAGTCATTAGATGGTGAAAACTCCAAAATTTAAAAAAAAAATGGGGGGAGGGGGGAAGAACAGCTTGGAGAAAACGTAATCCTTCAATTTAGGATATATTGAATTTGTGGAGCCTAGAGATATATAGCTTCATCTCATAAGGGCCAATAAATTGCCAAAGAAAACTTATCTCTGAGTCTAACTCTGTAACAGCTGATCATCAGGTACGATTACATAAAGTATTTCTACAGAATGAATACCAAAGAACTAAAGTTAAAATGAAATATTATAGAATTGAATAAAATATTGCAACAAAGATTACAAAGGGTCAATAACTTCATGTATAAGCACATAATTATAAGATATATGAAAGAAACACGATAATATAAGTCTACCAAGTCTCTTAATATAAAGGATATGCATTTACATACTACACTGTTTCCATTAAGGACTGAAGATGGCTTACAACAAAAATATATGTAGTACAATGATATAATGTAAATAATGATAATAATAAAATGTAAAAATATTTTTTTAAAAATTAGCACCAGGAGAAATCAGAACTAGGAAGAAGAAACAAGATATGCAAGCTGTGAGGGCTTCAGAAACACCATTGTTGACAACCAAACTGAAAAGTTTAACAAAAGTTGCATGACTTTTACTGTCCATTAGGAGAAAACACAGCAATTTCTCCCTTTACAAAAGACATTTTTTGAATACCACCCCCAATGCAAAAGACAGAACTTCACGACAAAAATATTTCTAAATTAAATAAAGTTAGCCTTATGAAAAACTCACTACCTTGCCCCTATTTCTCAAAAGCCATGCTATTGCAGGACAGTTAAGTATTTCTAAAAACACTCCACACAGACATTTGGGGATATTATGACAGCAAACACAGGGAAGGGTTCCATAAAGTGCTTCTCTGTGGTACCCTTTGATGGAAACAAAGAACCAAACATCTAAGCATCACTGGATGAAGACATCTGGGTGGGGGAAGAGAGGAGAGGGAGGGGGAAGTGAACATGAAGTGGGCGAGATATATAGATCTCTGATGGTCCATCCTGATCCATAAAAGAATGAATACAATTTTGAGGAATGGATGAACTACACATCCTTCAAACCATAGCAATTGGGCTTTGGACAAAGTTTCGTAAGAGCAGAGTAGAAGTGAGGTAGGAATCTCTGGCGAGCACCCAAAAGTTATATACTCTCTGTGTTGCCCGAGGATGCAACCACAAGAGGTGAATATTATATGAGCACAGTATGGCTGACAGCCTTTCATAAAAATTAAGGAGCCTAACTAAAGGCCATCCCACATTGGCACAAAAGAGGTAATTACAGGCCCCTGTAATTAAAGAGCATGTGCAAAATGCACAAAATAAAGACCTACAGAAAGCAGACACATAAAAATATTCACTTGCACATAAACCTAAAGAAATGCAAATCAAAAAACAGTATCATTTTGCAACTATAAGCTAAGCAAAAGACTAACTTTAAAAATTCAATATTGTGTGGATTTAAAGAAAAGAGTTATATTCCAAATTCGTTAGAAAGAATCAAAATTTCCCAGGATAAGGGAAACAGTTAAGAAAACTATGATATACGAATGTATCTGTGCATAAAAATGATGATGCGTGATAAATGTGAACAAATATGAGAAGATGCTGATGAAGTTGACGTACCCAAACTGTATATATGGGCATGCAGACCAACATGTGGCTGGGTCACAGAGCAAGTCAGCGAAACCTGCCTGTTTACGAGCTCTGCCAGCCAGCCCGGGAGAGCTCTCAGGAACTGCAGGCAGAAGCTGCCATCCCAGGCCTTGTCCAGCACGGACCCATCTGTACTCAGGTTTACCCTCTCTTTGCCTGCTCAAGGTCCAACCTCATCCCCGACCTTATCCTCCAAATCTGACAACGTCTCCTTTTCCTTCTTCTTTCATTCTCACGACACCCTGTGAGGTAGGTATTTTAAAGAAATAATTAAATGAATGAATAGCTACAAATCAAAGCTCAACACGGAAGCTTTGTTTCCAGACCTTCCAACTGGAGGAGCTTCTTGAGCTTCTTCTTACTTCCGCGACGTCCTCACGGTTTCCCTGCACATGGCTTCTTGGCCGACTGGGCAGGGCCGGAGGCCGGGGGACGGGCTTCTGCAGCCCCAGGAACCGGTCTTCCTTGCTTCTCAAGGCCCGGTGAGTGCTCAACAGAAGAAGCTGAATTATCTAAAAAGAAGAAGAGATGAGGTTTCCTAAGACACTCCTTTTACCATTTCTAAATTTCATTTTATATTGGGAGCATTAGTCCAGCGAATCAGATCTCAGAAAAAAATTCTAGATTTGGAGAGTTTGTGTCTTCTGGATTTACAATATATTAGCCCTAGCCAGTTTGGCTCAGTGGAAAGAGCACTGGCCTGCAGACGGAAGGGTCCCAGGTTCAATTCCGGTGAAGGGCACATGCCCGGGTTTCGGGCTCAATCCTCTGTGTGGGGTGTGCAGGAGGCAGCCAATCAATGATTCTCTCTCATCACTGATGTTTCTATCTCTCTTTCTCCCTTCCTCTCTGAAATCAATAAAAGTATATTTAGCCCTGGCCGGTTTGGCTCTGTGGATAGAGCATTGGCCTGCGGACTGAAGGGTCCCGGGTTCGATTCCGGTCAAGGGCATGTACTTTGGTTGCGGGCACATCCCCAGTGGGGGGTGTGCAGGAGGCAGCTGATCGATGTTTCTCTCTCATCAGTGTTTCTGATTCTCTATCCCTTCCTCTCTGTAAAAATCAATAAAATATATATATTTTTTAAAAAGTATATTTAAATATATATATAATATTAAACACACACAGAGCAACCAGAAAGAAACTATTTCATAGTTAGGGGAGAGCCACAAAACAACAGATGAAGGTAACGACAGGCTTTATACATAATATAGAGTAGAAGGCCCCTGCCACCATTCAGGGTCCTTAGATAGCCTCCGACACTGGCATATGCAAAGCCCTCCCCACCTTCTCACTACCTGCCTAGGAAGTCGGCCACTACCATCCCAACATAAGAAAGGTCCATAGTGAAAGCTTAGAGACTCTGATTTAATTATATGGTTTTCCCATCAACAATTCTCCTGAGTCAACCACCCACTAAAACTGATTTTCAGCTACAGGCAAATCTAACAGAATAAGTAACCTGAAAGCATTCCAATGAAAAGAACACCAATCATACTTTGTAGACCTTAAAAAGTGACAGACTAAGCTTCGAGATAGGAAGATGGTTATGATGTTGTACAGAGTGACAGTTTAAGATGCTAAAACAAAACATACTTTGACTACAACTGGACTAGTCTTCGTATAGTAACAAAACTGAAGGGCTTGCGAGTAAATGGTAACAATTACTGTGCATTTGAATGAGTGGTCTTTTGCAATGTTTATCTTTATTCTATGATCCAAATTTTTCAGTAATGTGCTTAAAATTTCCTAACAATTAAAAAAGAAAAAACTTTAATTCAATTTAATAAAAGAAAGCCATCCCTACATTATCCTTACCTTTCTAGTCACTGGCCCATCTCCCTCCTCTCTTTTCCTAATGAAGCTGTTAAGACTGGCCTATCTACCTCCTGACCCCCAACTTACCAAGGAGCTACACTGTTCACACACTGGGCAGGTGCCATTAGCTGCAGCCCTGGAAATAATCCATCCCTTTCCTTCTTTGGTTACAATCACAGTTCTGTATCATAAAACACTGACTGTCCTAAACTTCCCCTAGGACAGAGCTCTAAACACTTGAAGTGCTTTCTCCCCAGACTCACCTTCAGATCAAAACGACATCAGTGAGGCCTGGCCAGCATGGCTCAGTGGTTGAGCATCAACCTAAGAACCAGGAGGTAACCGTTTTAATTCTCAATCAGGGCACATGCCCAGGTTGCAGGCTCGATTCCCAGTGTGGGGCATGCAGAAGGCAGCCGACCAATGATTCTCTCATCATTGATGTTCCTATCTCTTTCCCTCTCCCTTCCTCTCTAAAATCAATAAAAATATGTGCGTGTTTTTAAAAAACTACCTCAGTGATGGAGTTTTGTCTACCTCTGACATTCTCACCTTTATTTTCAAGCATCTTGTGCAGCTTCTCGTGCCTGTAGGTAGAGATGATCTGGAAATTAACGACACTGGACACATTCAGTCCTTGGTCCTCCAGCAGCTTCAGGGATGCCGCGTTGATGAGCTGGTGGGACCGTTTGCATTTCTGAAGCCTGCACTCTCCCCTGACAAAGGACTTGCACACATGAAACTTGTTGCATTTGTCCTTGAGGATGCAGTAGCCATACAGGGCTTCACCTTTGTTGTAGCACAAACAGACCTGGGAGAGAAATGAGGCCACACTGAAAACATTGGTTTGCACTGTATCTTTTAAGCCAATAAATGACAATTTCTCCAACTGACAACTTCCGGTCACCAATGGCTGATAAAATCGTTGGGTGGGCCCTCGCCGGTTTGGCTCAGTGGATAGAGCTTGGGCCTGCGGACCTCCGAGCTTCCATTTAAGTCAAGGGCACGTACCTCGCTTGTAGGCTTCTCCCCCGCCCCGGACCCTGGTCAGGGCATGTGTAGGAGGCAACCAATCGATGTGTTTCGCTCATGTCAATGTTTCTGTCTTTCCCTCTCTCTTCCACTCTCTCTGAAAATCAATGGAAAAAATACGCTCGGGTGAGGACTAAAAAAAAAAAAAAAAAAAAAATGCACTTTTTATAAAATCATGGGTGGAAGGCGGGTGGGTAGTTACAGTACTCCCTCCCAGATCTCCCCAGCTGTTACTAACACACAGCTGCCTCTCTCTGACTTTGACCTTCTATGGACCTACCTTACTTTCCCAAAGTCTGTAGCCAATGAGTGAATTCTAAGCAGGTACTAAAGGCTGGGCCTTTGCCTCAATTCTTCAGGGTAATTGCAGCTCGAGCCCCACCATGAATCTAGTCAAAGCCTGACTTTGCCTTGCTTGTAGCTTGTCCTTCCCTGTAACCTGCTTCCCTCTTATTTTATCTTACCAAGTTTTTGTAAGGAGCCCTACTTCAAGAAATCACGCTCACCTAAATCCCTCTGTGTGGGGAAACCAACCTAGACAGGTAGTGTGAACAGATCATTTGTCAGCCAGACAAGGGCATTTGTTTAGGCAGCACTATAATAATTACATTAGGGCAACTGATGTAAACTGGGTCTGTCCCAGGAGAACCAAGACCCTTCTGGTGGGGACCTTCATAAGGATGGGTCAGGTTGTCACCCCTAAAATTGCTCTTGCCCTAACCGGTTTGGCTCAGTGGATAGAACGTCGGCCTGCAGACTGAAGGGTCCCAGGTTCGATTCCGGCCAAGGGCATGTACCTTGGTTGCGGGCACATTCCCAGTGGGAGGTGTGCAGGAGGTGGCTGATCAATGTTTCTCTCTCATCGATGTTTCTAACTCTCTATCCCTCTCCCTTCCTCTCTGTAAAAAATCAATAAAATATATTTAAAAAAATAAAATAAAATAAAATAAAATCGCTCTTAAGCTCACACACAAAAAAGATGATCAGGCATTGCGTCCCTCCTGACAACGTAGTTGGAATGCTCCTGACTCATGACATACCAAACCTGACTTCAATATCTGAAGAAACGAGAAAGGAGATGGGCGCCGAGAAGAAACCCCCTGGCTCCTAAGGCTGACCTCCTGGTCAGCCTGTGGGTACAAGCTGCTGCCTTGAGGGCAGCCTCTGCCATCTGAACCAAAGGCTCCAGCTTTGGGGCCTTCTTCCCTTCCAGACCCTGCCATCTCTCAAGTTAAAATGGCACCACAATCATGAACTACCCTCTCTTTCCCAACACCCTCCCTGCTTCTCACTCCTCTTCTAGCAACTCGGGAGTGTCTGTAATAGAATCACTGGGCCAGATTAGAAAACTCAACTTTTAATGGGTGGTCTCTTATAACATTTTATTTTGGGGGTTCCAACTATTTTTTTTAACATATATATATTTTAATCTTCACCCGAGGATGTTTTTTTCATTGATCTTTAGAGAGAGAGTGAAAGGGTGGGAGAAGCGGGAGAAAAACATCAATGTGAGAGACCAGTCACTGGTTGCCTCCCCTAGGAGCCCAACCAGGACCAGGGCTCGAACCAGCAACCGAGGCACATGCCCTTGACCGAGAATTGAACCCAAGACCCTTCAGTCCATGGGATGACGCTCTAATCACTGAATAAACCGACTAGGGCTTTTAATTTATATATTTATTTGAGAGAGAGAGAGAAACATTGACCTGCTATTTCATCCATTTATGCATTCCATTGGTTGACTCTTGTATGTGCCCTGATGGGGGATCGAACCCATAAACTTGGTGCATCGGGACAATGCTCCAATCAACTAAGCTAACCGGCCAGAGCTAGGAATCCAACTATTTTATTTTTAAAAAGTATCTGTGTCTAACTAAACCGTTACAAACATACTAACTTCACCATTATAGCAGTTATAATGGGTACTCTTTAAGTATAAAACTGAGTCATGTTGCTTTGAAGCAATTAAAATTTATATCTAAGACTGCCAAAAAAGTAAATGGGGGTAAATACTTGTAACAAATATGACCAGAAAATGAATTTTTATCATTAAAAACATTGTATAAATTAACAGGAAAAGACAAATGCCTCCATAAAAAAAAAAAAATAGGCAAAAGCATAAACAGGCAATTCACACAACAACGGCTTCATAGACAGACCTACATTCAAATCTGCCATTTATCATGTGACCTAAGGCACGTTAATCTATCTGAGACTCAGTTTCCTCACCTGTAAAATGGGGGCAAGTTATTAAGGAACTAAAGTATATAAACTGCTTAGCATCTAGTAAACACTCAAAAAACCAGTAGCCTCTATAATTATTTCTATACCACAGGGGTCCATCACTCCCTGAGTATCAAAGTCCAGTAAAATCAGAGACTCCAGAAAGGTCACCACCCCACCCCTCACCCCGGTACACCTCAGGCTGCCATGCTCTCCCCTGACTTTTTCCACTGGGCAGCCATTGAGGGTGACTCCTTGGGGACTCACCTCTGGTAAAAGGCAGGGGTCGTTCTGTAAAAGCAGAATCCGAAGCTGGGCCTCATTGAGGCCAAAAAGCCCATGGTTTTTCAGGACTTGGATGTTGACAGGTGTGTGGATATCATGGGAAAGGGTGCAGGTAGACCTAGAACACAAGGCTCTGGATCAGAGGCCTAGGTGAAGAGGCCGGTCTGTCCCGTTCTTTGCCTGGGGTCACTTTCAACTTGCATGTGAAGTGAATAAACAGGAACACCAGGTACTGCAGCCTAACAGGCTCTGGTAATAAGAAAGCTGGGTTGATGCAACTCCCCTCCCGGGGTCATCCTCATTTTCAATGAGGATATTTAAAGCCAAGGGTGGCCCCCACCCCCAGTCACCTGCCCTGACAGAGGGTGCCCACCTGTTCTGCAGGTGAGTGCACTTGTCTTCTCCACCCCAAACAGCTGCCCACCCCCACAAGCCACCAACGTTAAAAGGAAAGCCTGCCCCCACCCCACTTTGGGGAGCTTGAGTAAACCAAGGCAGAGTCAGGCGACCTCTCCGAAATCATCCATCCACCCCTCCGTTTCCTGGGGCTCGGACTAGATTGGTCTTTCTAAACCCAGAGAGACCAGCTGCCGTAAAACTGTGCGTTTGTGTGGGAGGAGGCAACCTCTGCATAAAGGGTCCAAGGCTCTGACGGGATTCGCAAACGCTCCCCCAAAAGGAGCTCGGGGCGTAAACCCCTAAGTCCCAATCCTGACTCACCCGGGGACACGACCCCCTTTTTTCATCTCTTTTGGGTCCCGCTTCCAGCCCGAAGGCCAGGGCCCGCGCGCGAGGTCGCGCCGCCGCCTG